TAGGTAAAGTTGATCCAGGGAATATCCGATTGCCTCTCGGGGGATCAGGAAGGAATTTTTTTCCCTGCAGGAGCAAATTGGATCAAGCCTTGCTGGGTTTTTTTTGCCTTCCTCTGGATCAACTGTGGGTATAGAATTATAACTTTTTTTTTCTTTTTCAGTGGTTGAACTGGATGGAAATACACAGCAGTATGTCTCCCTAGTAAAACACACACAGCACATCATGTAAAACAGCACACTGTTAACCCTTTGATCATCCCAGATGTTAACCCCTTCCTTCCCAGTGTCATTAGTACAGTGTCAGTGCTTTTTCTTAGCACTGATCACTGTATTAGTGTTTTTGGGATGTCAGTGGCAGTCAGTCAGTTCCCACCTAGTGTCAGAATGCTCTGCAGTCTCGCAGTTCTGCTATAAGTTGCTGATTGCTGCCATTAGTAGTGTAAAAAAAAAAAAAAAATTCCAGTATTTATGCCCCCATTTGTAGACGCTATAACTTTCACGTAAACCAATTAATTTACATTTATTGGGATTTTCTTTTTAGCAAAGACATGTAGCAGAATACATTTTGGCTTAAGTTTATGAAGACATTTGATTTTTTAAATTTGTTTACTGGATATGTTTTATAACAAAAAGTCAAGTATATTGGCTATTTTTTTTTCAAAATTGTAGTTTTTTTGTTTATAGCACAAAAAATTAAAAACGCAGAGGTGATCAAATACCACCGAAAGAAAGCTCTACAGGTGAAACTCGAAAAATTAGAATATCGTGCAAACGTTCATTTATTTCAGTAATGCAACTTAACCACTTCCTGTCCGGACACTTTTACCCCCTTCCTGTCCAGGGCAATTTTCAGCTTTCAGCGCTATCAGACTTTGAATGACAATTGTGCGGTCATGCAATACTGTACCCATATGAATTTTTACCATTTTTTTTGAGACAGATAAAGCTTTATTATGGTGATATTTATTCACCGCTGGGATTTTTATTTTTTTTTACTATGAAAATGAAAAATTCCAAAAATTTAGAAAAAAGTGTTTTTTTAAATAAAATTTTGCAAATAAATAATATTTCATCATAAATCTTGGCCAAAATTTATTCTGTTATTTTTTAGTAAAAAAAAAATCCAAATTAGTTTATAACCAAAAATTATAATTTTTAAAAAAAAAATTTATTTTACATTTTTATTTTATTTTTTTTTTATATTATTATTATTTTTTTATATACTGTCACCCTAGCAGTACAGTGTCACCATGGTGACACTGTACTACTTGTGGGGGGTGATGAAGATTTTTTTTTTTTTTTTTTTTACACCGATTGCTTTTACACCCATATAGGATGTAAAAGCAATCATTTCTCTTTCTCTCTGTCTGCATTCTTGCAGTCATTGAGAAGTACTGAGTGAGCTGTGATTAGTCACAGCTTGTCACATGGTACAAGGCTGTTGTGAATAGCCTTGTACCATGTGACCTCTGTGATCATTCACAGATTTCACACGTAGTAAGCAATGATGTCACAAGTGACATCTTGCTTACTACTTTGCATGTGATCACTGATTGGCCAATCAGTGATCACATGATCGGGACCTTGTACAGAGGTCCCGTCCGACGATCGGTGTTTCACTGTGTCCGGAGGACACAGCGGGCACCGGATCGCAGGTGCTGCGTGCTCCCAGGGAGCGCGCACAGCTAGAAAAGGCGGGTGCCGTTTATGAACAGCAACCCATCCCTGGACTGCCACCGCCCTGCCGTTTATAAACAGCAGGCGGACGGCAAGTGGTTAAAAGGTGAAACTAATATATGAGATAGACTCATTACATGCAAAGCAAGATAGTTCAAGCCGTGATTTGTCATAATTGTGATGATTATGGCTTACAGCTCATGAAAACCCCAAATCCATAATCTCAGAAAATTAGAATATTACATGCAATCAATAAAACAAGGATTGTACATAGAACAATATCGGACCTCTGAAAAGTATAAGCATGCATATGTACTCAGTACTTGGTTTGGGCCCCTTTTGCAGCAATTACTGCCTCAATGCGGTGTGGCATGGAAGCTATCAGCCTGTGGCACTGCTGAGGTGTTATGGAAGACCAGGATGCTTCAATAGCGGCCTTCAGCTCTTCTGCATTGTTCGGTCTCATGTCTCTCATCTTTCTCTTGGGAATGCCCCATAGACTCTCTATGGGGTTCAGGTCAGGCGAGTTTGCTGGCCAATCAAGCACAGTAATCCCATGGTCATTGAACCAGGTTTTGGTGCTTTTGGCAGTGTCCTGCTGGAAAATGAAGTCAGCATCCCCATAAAGCTCATCTGCGGAAGGAAGCATGAAGTGCTCCAAAATCTCCAGGTAGACGGCTGCATTGACCCTGGACTTAATGAAGCACAGTGGACCAACACCAGCAGATGACATGGCTCCCCAAATCAACACAGACTGTGGAAACTTCACACTGGACTTCAAGCATCTTGCATTGTGTGCCTCTCCATTCTTCCTCCATACTCTGGGTCCTTGGTTTCCAAATGAGATGCAAAAGTTGTTCTCAAAAAAAGAGGACTTTGGACCACTGAGCAACAGACCAGGTCTGTTTTTCTTTAGCCCAGGTAAAACTCTTCTGACGTTGTTTATTGTTCAGGAGCGGCTTGACAAGAGGAATACGACATTTGAAGCCCATGTCCAGGATCCGTCTGTGTGTGGTGGCTCTTGATGCACTGACTCCAGCCTCAGTCCACTCCTTGTGAAAATCCCCAACACTTTTGAATGGCCTTTTCCTGACAATCCTCTCCAGGCTGCGGTCATCCCTGCTGCTTGTGCACCTTTTTCTACCACACTTTTCCCTTCCACATAACTTTCTATTAATGTGCTTTGATACAGCACTTTGGGAAAATCCAACTTCTTTTGCAATTACCTTTTGAGGCTTTCCCTCCTTATGGAGGGTCTCAATGATGGTTTTCTGCACAACTGTCAGGTCAGCAGTCTTTCCCATGATTGTCATTCCTACTGAACCAGACTGAGAGACCATTTAAAGGCTCAGGAACCCTTTGCAGATGTTATGGCTTAATTAGCTGATTAGAGTGGGACACTTTGGGGTTTATTTACTAAAGCTGGAGAGTCCAAAATCAGACTCCCTTCTGCATAGAAACCAATCAGCTTCCAGGTTTCATTGCCAAAGCTTCATTGAACAAGCTGAGGTTAGAAGCTGATTGGTTTCTATGCAGAAGGGAGTCTGATTTTGGACTCTCCAGCTTTAGTAAATAAACCCCTTTGAGCCTAGAATATTGCACCTTTTCACAATATTCTAATTTTCTGAGATTGTGGATTTGGGGTTTTCATGAGCTGTAAGCCATAATCATCACAATTATGACAAATCGCGGCTTGAACTATCTTGCTTTGCATGTAATGAGTCTATCTCATATATTAGTTTCACCTTTTAAGTTGCATTACTGAAATAAATGAACTATTGCACGATATTCAAATTTTTTGAGTTTCACCTGTATTTGTGGGAAAAAATACATATATTTCATTTATGTACAGCATTGCATGACTGCGCAAATTGTCAGTTAAAGTAATGCAGCGCCGTATTGCCAAAAATGACCTGGTCAGGAAGTGGGGTAAATCCTCTGGAGGGCAAGTGGTTAAAACAAGTATTTTATAAAGAAATTTCTGCATGGTACATCAATGCAATACATGCACATCTCCATGTTTAGGGAAACTGTATGAGTATTAGTGCATTGTGGTGCAATTCATTCATTCAAGGGGTTAAGGAGACAAAACATAGGAAAATGTGCATTCATTGCAGTCAAAATATGTTTTTTTTTTTTAATTTTTAACTGTGCCCAGACATACACTGTAAACATTCAAGGTCATTCCTTTTATGATGGTGACCTCAACCAAATGTTTTTCTTAGATACTGTTTGAACATCAGCAGCAGAAAGGAAATAGATTGCCTTCTTCTAATCCTGTATACAAAATTGTTGCTGTTCATGTGTATTTATGGGATGGCTTACCTTCATTACCTGTTTAAGATTACACCACTGTGGGCTAAAGGATAGAACTTTTAGATCACCATCTAGGATATATAATTTTTTTCTGTTTTAGGAAAACTGTTTTTTTTTTTATTTCTGTACACTGAATAATTTGCATGTTTTATATCCCAGAGGTTTTTGTCTTTAATTACAGGCACACAGACATTCTGTATAGACCTTCCTAATATATTTTGGAATGTATTGCTTCCTCATTGACAGCAAGCCAGGTTCTGAAATAGCAAAGCAACAGTACACTGGTATACCCCCTCCACCATGCTTCACAGTGTGCATGAGGGTTTGTTATTAGTATGCTGTGTTTTTGTTCCCCCAGATATTATGCTGTGGGCATACCAGGAAGATTAACTTTTGTCTAATATATCATTGCTCCAGGAGTTGTGTGGAATATTAGGGTGATCTTTAGCAAAGCAAATATAAGCAACTCGTTTTGGAGACCAATGGTTTCCTCCATGGTAGCCTCACATAAAGATCTCTGTTGGTTAAATTTCTTTTTTTAGGCAAACCTGTGAGTACAGATGTAAAAAGATACCGACATATACTCAGCTTTAATGCTTAGATTTAGCTCCCCTTTTTAAAGCAGTAGTAAACACTGCTTGCTCACTCATACTTGTGGAATAGACTCCCTCAAGAGTTGGTTCTGGCCAGCTCAGTGAATTGCTTTAAAAAAGTCCTGGATTCTTTCTTGGATACACAGAATATAACTGGATACTAACATTTATAGGAAAGGTTGATCCAGGGAATATTTGATTGCCTCTTGGGGATCAGGAAGAAATATATTTTCCCTTCAGGAGCAAATTGGATCATGCTTTGCTGGTTTTTTTGCCTTCCTCTGGATCAACTGTGGGTGTAGAATTATAACTTTTTTTTTTTAATGGTTGAACTAGATGGACTTTTGTCTTTTTCAGCCAGACTAACTATGTAACTATGTACCTATAAATAAGCTTATACAGCTTACCTGTTGGCAGGGGCAGACTGACCATTTGGAAACTCGGGCACTGCCCGAGGGCCCGGGGTCAGTAGGGGGCCCCATGAGATGCCCCTGGTACCTTTTTCATAGGCTTTTTTGAGTTTGGGCAAGGACACAGGGGCCCCATGATCCCCTATTGCCTGGGGGCCCCATGAGTTGTCAGTCCACCCCTGCCTGTTGGTACAGTGAATATCTCATATCTGTAGCAGCCAGTGATATCGCCTGCATATGCACACTGCATTTTCAAAGTATGGCACACTCTAGTGTGCCATTCATTGAGAGTGTGGTGTCACGATTGTGGCTTCCATGCACATGACTGGTAGCAACGACATCATGGCTCGGCCATTCAAATGGCTGGAGCCTGCAAACCTGGAAAGAAGACCGGGTGAAGATGGAAGCTGTGTCATTAATGACATCGCACTGCTGGAGGGATCACTTTTATATTTAAGTCTCATATAATGTGCTAGTATGAGGTGCATGTTAGGACATTAACCTGCAAGGGGATGATTTTTTTTTAGACATTACTACCACTGTAAAGACTGCTTGACATGGCCTTGCTCAGATCTCCATGGAACACACACTCCTAGTTGCTGAGTTTCAGCATTTCCTTATCACTTGAAATCATAAGCTATATTGCACTTCAACAGAATTATTATATGAAGAGAAGATAACCAAAATTGTGTGAAGTTTTTAAAGCAGGGCAGATCAAACTCACTTCTAAACATAAAGTAGTTGTAAACCTCTGCTATCTGCATTAGTCACTTTTGATTTATCCCAATACCATAGAATCTCAGGAGACAGCCGCCCTTAGGACACGGCCTGTGATTGACAGCCTCGGCTGTGCAGGTTTCCATATAAGACTGTGTAGAGGGGTGTGTGTCCTTTTCCTCTACTCAAGTTTCAGATTACACTCAGCTCCCTGCTTTATGATGTATAGTGTGTGACGTCAGAAAAAGCCTTTGATATGTGTGTTTAGAAGGCTATGGAGAACAGTGTAGAAGATAAATAGGTACAACTTATGAAGGAGGATTTGTTTCATCTTTGTGTATCGCCTGAGGCTTGTCACTTCATTCTGTATATGTAAGGTTTACAACTATTTTAATGGAACACCACACACATTGATTAGAGTGAATAATACCCTCTGATGAAGCCATGTAGGCGTAACGTGTAGAGGTGTGGAGAGAGTGACACTTCGTACCTCTGGCGGAACCCACAGGGGAGAATCTGACAGGAGACAATCAGGTGAATAGAGCACGGGAGGGAGGACACTGACCTCTTTCACGGAGTCCCCACCAGGTGCTGCATTCATACAAAGGATTTGTTTTGACCATTGCTGCCATTTGTGGTGCACCAGGACAGTGCACTTTTCTTGTGAGTGTGTGATTTTATAAACATTTTAAATAAATTGTATACACGGGTACACACTATGTTAGCATATTTTTCCTACATATAAACCGATGATTCACCTACACCAGAGCATCCCAAGATGAAGGCTATCCCCACAACCCAGGGACAATAGGGTTAAAGGTGCAATTACACCGAAATTTAGTACGTCAATCTATCAGGTGAGAGGCTGATGGTGATGTGATTTCATTTATTACAACTTCGTGCACATGGATGGGTTGGATTCAATTTGTATGAAAGTTGACAAGGACTTTTACTTATGAGGATTTTTTAATGACAATTTTTTTATTTAGCAGATACAGAGGGATCCAGCATTCCAGTATTTATTGGACTTTTACAGTATCTCAACATTGTGATATATGTAGCGCTGTCCTGGAATAATTTACACATTGATTAGAATATCTGGATCCAATTGCCTAATTTTAAGAACCAATTACACATACACACATATTTTTAATATTATTATTTTACATACACCATAAATATATGTAAATTGTTATGTAAATTGACAAATAAGAATATATATTTATCATTTTGACTTTATTGAAGATCAGACACAATTTTAGTAGCAGAACATGCTGAAATCCAGATATTTCCGTAGGATCATAAGCTTTTTCACAACTTTTTCAAACCACAATTAAGTTAAAACAAAGTCTAGAAATGGAGCAGTTTTTTTTCACAGCTTTTCAGCAGTGAATACATTGCTGTAAATGAGCTGGTAATTGAAATGCTCAGACTCAGGAAATAAAAAGCTATATGACTGCATTAGGAGATCTCATCAGCAGAAAGCCAAAGAGGTTTTTTTTTTAAATTCCTCATCAGTAGAAAATGTTGTGTTATATCTCAAATGGCATCTGTGTTTTCTGAAACGTGTTAAGCTGGAGTGACCATCTTATATCACCATGACTGGGTCTAGGCTCTACAGGTATTGCTTGCTGTCATCCTTTCTTTGTGTAAATGTATATTCTATGTTCTTCAAGGAACATAGACAAGTCTTTGTCACCACTATTGTAAAATTGTCTTGTTTTTTCCTTTGGCTACAACAATGTTTTGTGAGCCTTTAGCTTGGACAATCTGTTTTTTGTAGGTAGACATTCCAGTAGCTAGGCATTTGTCATTTCAGTAGTTGGTCAATTGTAACATTCATTAACAACACTAAAAAAACCAAAGCAAAGTTAGAACACACCCCTATGGTTTTACCACAGATTTAGTGTATAGCGTGAACAGAAACACAAATAGGCAGGACAGGGGTGACATTTGTGTACTAGGTCATGGTGACAGCTCATAGCTAGCAAGCATCCCACTATAAGCAACAGAAAGCCAAACTCAAAACACAAGACCCCTAGATACCTATCTAGTATGTCAGCTAAGGTAGGTGTTTTCTGTGGATGGTGAAGCACTAAGTATGCATCAACAGTTGTGCTAAAGAGATTCTATATTTATTTATTTATTTAGTTTACATTCCCATCAGTCCCTGCCCTCAAAGAGCTTACCATCTAAGGTCCCTAACTCACATTCATACATACACATACTAGGGCCAATTTAGACAGGAGTCAGTTAGCGTACCAGCATGTCTTTGGAGTGTGGGAGGAAAACCACGCAAGCACAGGGAGAACATGCAAACTCCAGGCAGACAGTGAGTGGTTGGGATTCAAACCAACGACCCTAGTGCTGCTAGGCAAAAGGTCTAATCATTTAGCCTCTGTGAAAAAAAATGTTTATGATTTCTGATTGTTTTAATTAGCCATTTAATTACCAATGAACTCCAGTAAAACAGATTAATATCATGCAATACATGCAGAACTGTTTTACCTGCCAAAGGCTTTGTATTCCTGTTCAGTCTGTACTGTGATCCAAGCATCCCTGCTTGATAGAACAGCAAGGGCCAGGCTTTATAGATTATGCAGATGCTAAGCAAGGTAGTTTGGCCAGGGCTGGATTTATACATCCTAGCCCCATAGTCCAACTGTCCTGTGCAGGGGCGGACTGACAACTCATGGGGCCCCCGGGCAATAGGGGATCATGGGGCCCCTGTGTCCTTGCCCAAACTCAAAAAAGCCTATGAAAAAGGTACCAGGGGCATCTCCTGGGGCCCCCTACTGACCCCTGGCCCTCGGGCAGTGCCCGAGTTTCCAAATGGTCAGTCCGCCCCTGGTCCTGTGCCACCGCTTTCTCCTACATCAGTGGCTAGCTAATTTAGAGTTGCCTTTATTTATTATTATTGTTTTACCAGAGGTGTATTAACACACTTTCAGACAGTAACTGGAGTTCTGCTTTAAGGATATGGATATTTGTTTTCCCACCTGATGCAGGAGATTAAGGGAATCACATGGTTCTTGGGATTTTGTGTCTCTGGCCATCTATAACTGATATGAGTTTCTTCTATACCAGCATGTCAACCTCATTCAAGCGTGGATCCTGAAGAAGCAAGCCATAAGAAACGCATTGATCCTACATGCTGTTATAATGCTATAATGTAACATGTGTTGACATATGTTTATGCTTTTTATATGAAGATTTTAATCTTATTTTGTAATAAAATTGATTTGGGCTTTTACACATTTTGAAATCCCTCATCCCTGCACAATTTACAGTCCCACTTTTTTGTTCTGGGAATTCATCCCTTTTACTTTGGGAGGGTTTGTACCTCAGATCTTTGGTTGGACAGATATGCAATTGGGATGGTGCCTTAATGAGGAATAATATTGCATATTCAGTTGACACACTATAAACTATAACTGATCTGCATATAAATTCACCGATGCTGTGAATCTTAAGTCCTTTGGATTCAAGATTCACAGTTTTAGTGAATTTATATGCATATTTGCCTGGAAAAAAATGTAAAACCATAACAGGAACCAGGACTAGAAGGTTTAGAAGGGCCAATGAAAGGCTTTAGGGATATGCCAGTCCCTCCGCTTTAAAAGGGAGTGATAACAGAGGGACTTTAAGCCTTAGTTGTAATTACTGGATTTGCTCCCAGTTGAGAAAATTGTTACTTGTCCTATGCACATGCTCTTGTCATAGTTAGAAATAGAAAGTTTGTTCTGTAAAAATTGAGACAATGACAAGGCACTCGAACGAAAAGTCCCTCAAAATTAGCAAGTCCGTGAAGACACCATCAATTCAGCAATTTTTATACTTTCTTGTCTGAACATTTGAAACTAAATTCTACAGGTGTGTAGTGCTACACGTGCAGGAGTCGCTCCATAAAGCTTGTCCCCAGTGGTTGCCCTGACCTTGCAAGCCTCCTGGCACCTCTGACGCTCCGGGTTCAGACATATTTCAACAGTGCAAGAGATACAATTCTTTAGTAACACCTCTATATTAGGCTTGTTCAAAAGAGTAGACCACAGAATGAAGGTTTAGGAGGTACATTCCCAGTTGACACATTAAAGCAAAGCACTGATAAAATGAAAATAACCAAAAGCAATGGTTAACAGATTATATGGTCACAAATGGTACGTTGTAACTATGTAACTGCAATACCGGCAGCAGGAGGGCGAAGAAAAGATTTGTTGACTTATCAACTCCCTCTGGGCCACCGGCATCACAATAGGGAATGTAAGGAATTATGTAAATAAATGCATATATATATATATATATATATATATATATATATATATATACAGTGAGGAACAGAAGTATTTGAACACCCTGCGATTTTGCAAGTTCTCCCACTTAGAAATCATGGAGAGGTCTGAAATTCACATTGTAGGTGCATACCCACTCTGAGAGACAGAGTTAAAAAAAAAAATTCAGGAAATCACAT